ACATCCAAGGCCAAGGACAGAGAACCAGGAGCAGCTTTGTTAAAGAGCTTCACGGAGCATCGTGGGGGGCGGGGGGATGAGGTCGGGGGCAGGTGAGGATCCAAGCTGGGGGGGTGGGGGTGAGGAGTGCGGGAGACCCAGGAGCCGGACCAGAGGTGGGGGCGGGGAGGGGGCAAGGTCCGGATGGAGGGGCACTAGGACCTGCCTGGGTTGTCAGGGAAGGCGTTTTGCTGATCCCAAAGCGCTGTAGTCTCGAGAATTATCATCTCCTCGCGCGGTGCGCCATCAGTGTTGGGGACGCAGGGAGCGGATACCGGGGGTTAGGAGTCTGGGGTCACATCCTGGGCACGACGGGGTCAAAGGTCACGCCGGGTGTGTTGAGGTCAAGGGTCGCGCCCCGCCTTGGCGGCAGACAGTCCGTGTCTACGCGGTCACCGCCCTGACCCCTGACCCCGGCCCGGCTCCCCACGTCCAGGCTCTCACTCCATGAAGTATTTCGAAGCCATCATGGCCTCGCCCGGGCTCCCGGAGCCGCGGTATATCGAGGTGGGCTACGTGGACGATCAGCAGTTCGTGCGCTTCGACAGCGCCCGTGCGAGTCCGAGGATGGAGCCGCGGGCGGCGTGGATGGAGCGGATGGACCGGGAGGACCCGGACTACTGGGAGGGGGAGACGCGGCGCAGCAAGGCGAACGCGCAGGTTTACCGAGCGCATCTGAAGATCCTCCGCGGCTACTTCAACCAGAGCGAGGGTGGTTCTTGAAGGGGGGGGAAGGGGCGGGGCCGGGTCGGCCTCGGGGGACACGGGGAGGGGTGGGGCAGAGAGCAGCCCGAGTCCGGCGCTGACCGGGGCGGGGCGGGCAGGGGTCCACACCATCCAGAGCATGTACGGCTGCGAGGTCTCCCTCGAGCTCACCTTCCAGCGCGGGTTTCTACAATACGCCTACGACGGGCGCGACTACATCGCCCTGGACACGGAGACCTCCACGTGGACGGCGGCGGTGCCCCCCGCTGTGAACACCAAGCACAAGTGGGAGGCGGACAGTGGCTACACGGAGGGGCAGAAAGCCTACCTGGAGGAGACGTGCGTGCTGTGGGTGAAGAAGTACCTGGAGATGGGGAAGGAGACTCTGCAGAGGGCAGGTACCCCCGCCCCCCTCAGTGTGCGCGGCACTCAAGGCCCCCGCTCCCCTTCTCCCCCTTCCCTGCAGTCCCAGCCCCGGGCTCCCGACCCCCAGGCACCCCTTGTACCCCAGACCCTACCCGTCCTTGTGTCCCCGGAGGGGAGGGGATAAGGGAGAGCCTGGAAATGCCGCTGACCTTTGCCTCCAGACCCGCCTTCAGCCCGAGTGACCCGCCACACTGCCCCCCACGGGGAGGTGAGCCTGCGGTGCCGGGCCCAGGACTTCTACCCCGCGGACATCTCCCTGACTTGGCTGAGGGATGGGGAGGAACAGCTCCAGGACGTGGAGTTCATTGAGACCAGGCCCGCAGGAGACGGGACCTTCCAGAAGTGGGCAGGTGTGGATGTGACCTCGGGCCAGGAAGGGAAATATACCTGCCGAGTTCAGCACGAGGGACTGCCTGAGCCCCTCATCCTGAAGTGGGGTAAGGACAGTGAGGAGGGGCTGGGAAAGGCCATCCCCCAGACCCCCAAAAGCCCAGAGGGAGGTGGGGTGACTGGGGAGGTAGGGGAGGTGTTAGTGAATCTCAGGCCTCAGAGGGATCAGGGCCTCTCACTGCCCTTTTCCATTTCAGAGCCAGAGTCCTCATCCCCCTGGTTCATTGTGGGGGTCATTGCTGTCCTCCTCCTCATTGCAGTCATTGCTGGAGCTGTGATCTGGCAGAGGAAGAATTCAGGTGGGCAGCACTGGGAGGCAGCCCTTGGGGAGCAGGCTTATGGAGATCCTGGCTTCCCCTAACCCGCAGCTTGTCTTTCTGTCCCCAAGTCTTCTCTTTCCCACCTAAGGGACTTTCAGATGGACCCTAAGACTCTAGATGAACAAATAGAAACCATTTTCCTGGAGGATGCCAGGCAGGGGTATAACAGGCTGGCCTAGTGGGGAATGTGCTTCAGACTCAGATCGTAAATGCATGTGGGGATCTCTGCCAGAGGACCTGAGTGTCTCCTCAGCTGGGGGTTGTAGACCAGCCTTGAGAACCCCTGGAGGCAGGCCTGAAGGTGGGGAAGTGCCCATTTGGGGGGGGCCTCTTCTCTCTTCCTCTTGGATACAGAGGCTGGACTGGAGTGGGGGATGGGGGTGCAGTCCCAATTGTAATTTGTTGTGTCTCCAAGGCAAACCAGTGACTCCTGAGACCATGTGGTCTCCTCTCCTGGATTCCTCACTGGAAATTTTTTTCTTTTCCAGGTAGAAAAGGAGGGGACTATGTTCCTGCTTCAGGTAAGTGAAGAGTGAACATAGAGGGTAGAAAGAATGGCCCAGACCATGATATCTCTGATATGTGATATCTGAGCAATGGGAAGGCAGA